ATTTCTTTTTATAGAAAATTTTCGATAAATTTTCTTTTTTAGAAAATTTTCGATAAATTTTCTTTTTATAGAAAATTTTCGATAAATTTTCTTTTTATAGAAAATTTTCGATAAATTTTCTTTTTATAGAAAATTTTCGATAAATTTTCTTTTTATAGAAAATTTTCGATAAATTTTCTTTTTATAGAAAATTTTCGATAAATTTTCTTTTTATAGAAAATTTTCGATAAATTTTCTTTTTATAGAAAATTTTCGATAAATTTTCTTTTTATAGAAAATTTTCGATAAATTTTCTTTTTATAGAAAATTTTCGATAAATTTTCTTTTTATAGAAAATTTTCGATAAATTTTCTTTTTATAGAAAATTTTCGATAAATTTTCTTTTTATAGAAAATTTTCGATAAATTTTCTTTTTATAGAAAATTTTCGATAAATTTTCTTTTTATAGAAAATTTTCGATAAATTTTCTTTTTATAGAAAATTTTCGATAAATTTTCTTTTTATAGAAACTTTTCGATAAATTTTCTTTTTATAGAAAATTTTCGATAAATTTTCTTTTTATAGAAAATTTTCGATAAATTTTCTTTTTATAGAAAATTTTCGATAAATTTTCTTTTTATAGAAAATTTTCGATAAATTTTCTTTTATAGAAAATTTTCGATAAATTTTCTTTTTATAGAAAATTTTCGATAAATTTTCTTTTTATAGAAAATTTTCGATAAATTTTCTTTTTATAGAAAATTTTCGATAAATTTTCTTTTTATAGAAAATTTTCGATAAATTTTCTTTTTATAGAAAATTTTCGATAAATTTTCTTTTTATAGAAAATTTTCGATAAATTTTCTTTTTATAGAAAATTTTCGATAAAATTTCTTTTTATAGAAAATTTTCGATAAAATTTCTTTTTATAGAAAATTTTCGATAAAATTTCTTTTTGTAGAAAATTTTCGATAAAATTTCTTTTTATAGAAAATTTTCGATAAAATTTCTTTTTATAGAAAATTTTCGATAAAATTTCTTTTTATAGAAAATTTTCGATAAATTTTCTTTTTATAGAAAATTTTCGATAAATTTTCTTTTTGTAGAAAATTTTCGATAAATTTTCTTTTTGTAGAAAATTTTCGATAAATTTTCTTTTTGTAGAAAATTTTCGATAAATTTTCTTTTTGTAGAAAATTTTCGATAAATTTTCTTTTTGTAGAAAATTTTCGATAAATTTTCTTTTTATAGAAAATTTTCGATAAATTTTCTTTTTATAGGAAATTTTCGATAAATTTTCTTTTTACAGAAAATTTTCCATAAATTTTCTTTTAATAGAAAATTTTCAAAATTTTCTTTAATAGAAAATTTTCAAAATTTTCTTTATATAGAAAATTTTCAAAATTTTCTTTATATAGAAAATTTTTGATGAATTTTCTTTATATAGAAAATTTTCGATGAATTTTCTTTATATAGAAAATTTTAAATGATTTTTGCTTTTTTTTTTCGATGAATTTTCTTTATATAGAAAATTTTCGATGAATTTTCTTTATACAGAAAGTTTTCAATGACTTTTCTTTTTATAGAAAGTTTTCAATGACTTCCTTTTATAGAAAGTTTTCAATAAATTTTCTTTTTATAGAAAGTTTTCAATAAATTTTCTTTTTATAGAAAATTTTTGATAAATTATTTAATTAGAAAAAAATATACTTACGTTCGCTGTTGCGTTTTTTTAACAAATTCACCATTTATAAAAATTCAGTGAATATAATTCCAAATAATGAAATCTCATTTTTTGTGAGTTATTCAATTTAAATTCATTCTCTTTATTGAAATTATTCTTTTTTAATTTTATAAATTTATAACAGTGTTTATTTACTTATATTACAGCACTAAGGAAAAAAATATACAATACTCATACTTTTAGTACAATAAAAAAGAGAAGGAAATAAAATATTAATTTACAATATAAAAAGTATTTTATATTTTTTTTATTTTCATTTCAAGTTTAAATTTATTTTAAAATATGCTGCTATATTACTATATATTTAAATAACGTTGTGAAAAATAAATTGGTTTTTTTACATTAATTTACATGTTAAAAATAATATTATTTAGGTGTTTATTTGTTTATATGTAAAAAATATAAAATAAAAATAAAAAATAGTATTTTGTATTTAAAGTGTACTTAAACGACTACTAACAGTTATATAAAAAATATTTTTTTTAGTTATTATGTGTTGAATTATTTATGCAATTTAATGTACATATAACATATTGGTTTGGTTTTTTTATTATTTATTTTAGTTAAAGACTCAAATAATTTATTTTTTTTTTCGATTAAATTGACACTATTTAAATGTGTAAACTATGGGGCTCTTTTAAGTTTACAAATTTAAATATTTATCTATTTAATAGTTGTTTACAGTTTGTGTACACATACATACATATGCATTTGTATTATAGTTTTATTGTTGGTTTCTTTTTAATAATTGAAGAAATAAATTATTGAAGCTGCTGCAGTAGAGAAATTTTTAAATTATTTGTCAATTTTCATTATTTATCCTTTTCTAAGATCAAAGAGATTCAAAGAGCATTGTGTATAAAAATTTGGCTTTTCGATTGATTCGACAAATTTACCTGGTACTGAAAGTTATCAAAATCGATTCATAGTAAAACAATTTCCGAATAACTATAGACTATGGAATATAGTAAGTAAGTATCTAGCCTATAGTCTAGTCTATAGTCTAGTCTATAGTCTAGTCTATAGTCTAGTCTATAGTCTATTCTATAGTCTAGTCTATAGTCTAGTCTATAGTCTAGTCTATAGTCTAGTCTATAGTCTAGTCTATATAGTTAGTCTAGTCTATATAGTCTAGTCTATAGTCTAGTCTAAGTCTAGTCTATAGTCTAGTCTATAGTCTAGTCTATAGTCTAGTCTATAGTCTAGTCTATAGTCTAGTCTATAGTCTAGTCTATAGTCAGTCTATAGTCTAGTCTATAGTCTAGTCTATAGTCTAGTTATAGTCTAGTCTATAGTCTAGTCTATAGTCTAGTCTATAGTCTGTTATAGTCTAGTCTTATAGTCTAGTCTATAGGTCTAGTCTATAGTCTAGTCTATAGTCTAGTCTATAGTCTAGTCTATAGTCTAGTCTATAGTCTAGTCTATAGTCTAGTCTATAGTCTAGTCTATAGTCTAGTCTATAGTCTAGTCTATAGTCTAGTCTATAGTCTAGTCTATAGTCTAGTCTATAGTCTAGTCTATAGTCTAGTCTATAGTCTAGTCTATAGTCTAGTCTATAGTCTAGTCTATAGTCTAGTCTAGTATAGTCTATAGTCTAGTCTATAGTCTAGTCTATAGTCTAGTCTATAGTCTAGTCTATAGTCTAGTCTATAGTCTAGTCTATAGTCTAGTCTATAGTCTAGTCTATAGTCTAGTCTATAGTCTAGTCTATAGTCTAGTCTATAGTCTAGTCTATAGTCTAGTCTATAGTCTAGTCTATAGTCTAGTCTATAGTCTAGTCTATAGTCTAGTCTATAGTCTAGTCTATAGTCTAGTCTATAGTCTAGTCTATAGTCTAGTCTATAGTCTAGTCTATAGTCTAGTCTATAGTCTAGTCTATAGTCTAGTCTATAGTCTAGTCTATAGTCTAGTCTATAGTCTAGTCTATAGTCTAGTCTATAGTCTAGTCTATAGTCTAGTCTATAGTCTAGTCTATAGTCTAGCTATAGTCTAGTCTATAGTCTAGTCTATAGTCTCGTCTATAGTCTGTCTATAGTCTAGTCTATAGGTCTAGTCATATAGTCTAGTCTATAGTTAGTCTTAGTCTAGTCTATAGTCTAGTCTATAGTTAGGTCTTAGTCTAGTTATAGTCTAGTCTATAGTCTAGTCTATAGTCTAGTCTATAGTCTAGTCTAAGTCTAGTCTATAGTCTAGTCTATAGTCTAGTCTATAGTCTAGTCTATAGTCTAGTCTATAGTCTAGCTATAGTCTAGTTTCTAGCTAGTCTATAGTCTAGTCTAGTCTAGTCTATAGTCTAGTCTATAGTCTAGTCTATAGTCTAGTCTATAGTCTAGTCTATAGTCTAGTCTATAGTCTAGTCTATAGTCTAGTCTTATAGTCTAGTCTATAGTCTAGTCTATAGTCTAGTCTATAGTCTAGTCTATAGTCTAGTCTATAGTCTAGTCTAGTCTATAGTCTAGTCTATAGTCTAGTCTATAGTCTAGTCTATAGTCTAGTCTATAGTCTAGTCTATAGTCTAGTCTATAGTCTAGTCTATAGTCTAGTCTATAGTCTAGTCTATAGTCTAGTCTATAGTCTAGTCTATAGTCTAGTCTATAGTCTAGTCTATAGTCTAGTCTATAGTCTAGTCTATAGTCTAGTCTATAGTCTAGTCTATAGTCTAGTCTATAGTCTAGTCTATAGTCTAGTCTATAGTCTAGTCTATAGTCTAGTCTATAGTCTAGTCTATAGTCTAGTCTATAGTCTAGTCTATAGTCTAGTCTATAGTCTAGTCTATAGTCTAGTCTATAGTCTAGTCTATAGTCTAGTCTATAGTCTAGTCTATAGTCTAGTCTATAGTCCTAGTCTATAGTCTAGTCTATAGTCTAGTCTATAGTCTAGTCTAGTAGTCTAGTCTATAGTCTAGTCTATAGTCTAGTCTATAGTCTAGTCTATAGTCTAGTCTATAGTCTAGTCTATAGTCTAGTCTATAGTCTAGTCTATAGTCTAGTCTATAGTCTAGTCTATAGTCTAGTCTAGTCTAGTCTATAGTCTAGTCTATAGTCTAGTCTATAGTCTAGTCTATAGTCTAGTCTATAGTCTAGTCTATAGTCTAGTCTATAGTCTAGTCTATAGTCTAGTCTATAGTCTAGTCTATAGTCTAGTCTATAGTCTAGTCTATAGTCTAATATAGTCTATCATAGACTATACTATAGCTTAGATTATAGACTAGACCTTAGACTAGAGTAGAGACAACACTATAGACCATAGACTAGACTATAGATTAGACCACAAGTAGACTACAAGGCTAGTCTGTGGAGAAAACTATAGACTAGACTACACACAAGACTTTAACTATAGACTTTACTATAGACTAGACTATAGACGAGACTATTGACTAAACTAGAAAATTGCCTATCATTTAGACTGTAGATGTGTTAATGTTGGCCTTCTTTTAATAAGAAACGCACTAGGCAGTATATAACCCGGTATTTATGGGACATATTGAGACTTCTGGAAGTAATATCTAGACACTAGACGCAAGGTCTGCTTGATCTCCCCTTCAATAAATACTGTGGCAGTTGCAAGGAAAATGAAAAAAACGGTTCCATTTTCTCCGCGAATGTTCTGCACTAGCCGCCAGGAGAAAGATTAGTTGGCAACTGCTTCATATCCAACTTTGGTAAGCTAAATTTCTGGGTCAACAGTTAATGACCTCCAGAGGTTTCACTCTGCTGCATGCTGTATCTAATAAATAATACTACATATGAAGAGTGAAGCTGTTGTGTTAAAACGAATTGCGCTCGACTCTACTTGACTGTTTGAGCTCAACAAACTAACAAGCAAAAGACTATACTATATACTAGACTATAGGTTAGATAAGTTTTTATTATAGGCTATGTTAAAGTACTAAGCTACAGGTTGATGTGTTGATTTGATGGCAGATTTCAACATAAAACATATTTACTATTGTAAACCATGCTATATTGCACCAATTAAAATATGTCTTACACTTCATATACATATGTAATTGTTGTTTTTGAAAGCGCCTTCAAGTCAGAAATAATAATTCGGAACGCACTCTTAATCCCTTCCCTGCATTTAGCTTAAAACTTTAATTTAAAATAGTTTAAACAACCGGCAATTATATTTTAAAAAATTTTGAGATTCATATTTGCAGTATTTAGTTAAATGCCGAAACTTTCAATTAACACACTCAAATCTTCAATTACAGACTATATAGCAATTATAAATTCAAAACAATAGCACTCCTTTTAAACTCTTTATACATTTTCATTAAAATTTACTTAATTTGTATATAAAAAATATAGTAATAAATTCGAATTAAATTTCTTTTTGTTTTCTGCCTCTTTCTACTAACAAAATTTTTAAATATATAATAAATAGTATGAGAAAATAAAATGTAATAAATAAAAGCCTATTAACTATTATTACAGTATTTACTTACATAAAGTACAAATAAAGCTTATAAATAAACCTTAGAAATATAACAAATATTTTGTATAGAGTTACAGACACACATTTACTTAACAAGTACTCTTTCATAACTATAATACAATTGTCAAAACCACCAAACTTAAAGATATTACTTTTTTTATATATAAATGTTTGTGTTGTATTAATATTACTCTGCTGCTATTGTTATTTTATAGTTGTTGTATTTTTTAATACTAGTTTATACCAAGAAAAATGGATATACTCTTAAAATCTAAACTTCCACTTTATCCTCGTTGATAATATCCATCACAACAAAATGTTGCTGATGCTGTTCACTACAGCGTCTTGCAGCACCGCCATCTATATTAGTTACACTATTTCTATGACTTATAATACCACCACTACTACTGCTAGCACCACCAGCACCTCCTACGCCACAAGCACTTATACTGGTGGTGGCTGTGGTATCACCTCTTCCACCACCCACTGGTATTTCTGTGACACTGCTGCAAAAACTTGAATGCCGTCTCCGTTGTTTCCAACTTTTTCGAAACGGCATTAGAAGAAACCTTTACTAGAGTACAGTCTCATTGGTGTTCGTGCAAGTACGTGGTCCATTAACAATAGAATACTTGGACGAATTATCTTTCTTTACAGCCATGCTGCCCAAGAAGATCTCCTTGAAAGTCTCACGGAATTGACGCGACATGCCACAATAGATGCCAAAGTTAATGGGATAACTGACAACTAGGAAGAAATTCGTGAATGTTATTAAAATGTTGGCACTATCGTAATCCATGAAATTAATATACAAAGACGAAACAATATGCATGGCTGTCACTACTGCTATGGGTATCTCTACAATTAAGAATACTGTCACCACCACTATTAACATTAGTGTTGTACAGTTGCTTTCTCTCAGTTTCTTGCATTCCTTTTTGCGATTCTCCCTAAAGAGTAGTTTTCTTCTTTCCTGGGCCTGACGCATGGCTGCAAATAGCAGTATATTGAGGGTGACCAACATTATGCACGGCACTAGATGTACAAATATCACTCGAAATAGAAAATATGATGTATAATATAAATCCTCGCCAATATAATCATCCACCCAGTTAGCGGTACGCATATGACAAACTTCTACCACTTGTCCTTCCCAATGTATTTGAACTGGTTCGAAAGTGTGATCTAGTAGTTTCGTACTTTGATGCAGAAAAGCTGCTATGGTTATATAGAGGGTACAGCGCTTTACGCGCGGCATCGTACACCAGGTATGGGCCATGGGGGCATGACAAACATAGATGTATCTGCAAGAAAAGGAAAAAAGATAAATATTAACATAATTTCATAAAACAAATTATTAAGAAACACTTTGCTAGACGGCAGACTTGCCTATAGACAACACCAGACTAGAATATAGACTAGCCTATAGACTAGGTTATAGAATAAACTATAGACCAGACTATAGACCATATTATCGACTAGACTATAGAGTAGACTATAGACTAGACTATAGACTAGACTATAGACTAGACTATAGACTAGACTATAGACTAGACTATAGACTAGACTATAGACTAGACTATAGACTAGACTATAGACTAGACTATAGACTAGACTATAGACTAGACTATAGACTAGACTATAGACTAGACTATAGACAAGACTATAGACTAGGACTATAGACTAGACTATAGACTAGACTATAGACTAGGCTATAGACTAGACTATAGACAAGACTATAGACTAGGCTATAGACTAGACTATAGACAAGACTATAGACTAGGACTATAGACTAGACTATAGACAAGACTATAGACTAGACTATAGACTAGACTATAGACAGACTATAGACTAGACTATAGACTAGACTATAGACTAGACTACTAGACTAGACTATAAGACTAGACTATAGACTAGACTATAGACTAGACTATAGACTAGACTATAGACTAGACTATAGACTAGACTATAGACTAGACTATAGACTAGACTATAGACTAGACTATAGACTAGACTATAGACTAGACTATAGACTAGACTATAGACTAGACTATAGACTAGACTATAGACTAGACTATAGACTAGACTATAGACTAGACTATAGACTAGACTATAGACTAGACTATAGACTAGACTATAGACTAGACTATAGACTAGACTATAGACTAGACTATAGACTAGACTATAGACTAGACTATAGACTAGACTATAGACTAGACTATAGACTAGACTATAGACTAGACTATAGACTAGACTATAGACTAGACTATAGACTAGACTATAGACTAGACTATAGACTAGACTATAGACTAGACTATAGATTAGACTATAGACTAGACTATAGACTAGACTATAGACTAGACTATAGACTAGACTATAGACTAGACTATAGACTAGACTATAGACTAGACTATAGACTAGACTATAGACTAGACTATAGACTAGACTATAGACTAGACTATAGACTAGACTATAGACTAGACTATAGACTAGACTATAGACTAGACTATAGACTAGACTATAGACTAGACTATAGACTAGACTATAGACTAGACTATAGACTAGACTATAGACTAGACTATAGACTAGACTATAGACTAGACTATAGACTAGACTATAGACTAGACTAGACTATAGACTAGACTATAGACTAGACTATAGACTAGACTATAGACTAGACTATAGACTAGACTATAGACTAGACTATAGACTAGACTATAGACTAGACTATAGACTAGACTATAGACTAGACTATAGACTAGACTATAGACTAGACTATAGACTAGACTATAGACTAGACTATAGACTAGACTATAGACTAGACTACAGACTAGACTATAGACTAGACTATAGACTAGACTATAGACTAGACTATAGACTAGACTATAGACTAGACTATAGACTAGACTATAGACTAGACTATAGACTAGACTATAGACTAGACTATAGACTAGACTATAGACTAGACTATAGACTAGACTATAGACTAGACTATAGACTAGACTATAGACTAGACTATAGACTAGACTATAGACTAGACTATAGACTAGACTATAGACTAGACTATAGACTAGACTATAGACTAGACTATAGACTAGACTATAGACTAGACTATAGACTAGACTATAGACTAGACTATAGACTAGACTATAGACTAGACTATAGACTAGACTATAGACTAGACTATAGACTAGACTATAGACTAGACTATAGACTAGACTATAGACTAGACTATAGACTAGACTATAGACTAGACTATAGACTAGACTATAGACTAGACTATAGACTAGACTATAGACTAGACTATAGACTAGACTATAGACTAGACTATGACTAGACTATAGACTAGACTATAGACTAGACTATAGACTAGACTATAGACTAGACTATAGACTAGACTATAGACTAGACTATAGACTAGACTATAGACTAGACTATAGACTAGACTATAGACTAGACTATAGACTAGACTATAGACTAGACTATAGACTAGACAGATAGACTAGACACTATAGACTAGACTAGAGACTAGACTATAGACTAGAACTATAGACTAGACATAGACTAGACCTAAGACTAGACTATAACTTAGACTATAGACTGAGACTATAGACTAGACTAACTTAGACTAGAACTATAGACTAACTAGACTATAGACTAGATAACTATATGACTAGACTATAAGGACTAGACTATAGACTAGACTATAGACTAGACTATAGACTAGACTAGAGACGAGACTATAGCCTAACTAGACTACTATAGACTAGACTAATGCTAGACTATAGACTAGACTATAGACTAGACTATAGACTAGACTATAGACTAGACTATAGACTAGACTATAGACTAGACCTAGACTATAGACTAGACTATAGACTAGAATATACATTATACCATACTATAGATTAGCAATCAATCCGTCTACTTAGAATAGAAAGAGAAAATATTCTTTAATCAAGTAAACATTCAAAACTTCCAGTATTTGCGTTATTTTTAAATTGCACACCTTTTATTGCCAAAAATACATAAATGTTATATTTTTACGAGGTTCCAGCCAAATAAAAGAGAAAAATATAATCTCTTTAGTTATTTTTTTTTATTAGAAATTTCCAGCATACTTTAGCCATTAGCTATCAATATATTTATTTTACAAACACAATTATATTTTATGTTTATTTTAAAACATTTCTTTTTTCCAAAATGTATTTTTAGCTATTTTTATGTCTTCGCATAAATAAATTTATTTTTGTGAAATGTCTTTAATATCATAATATTTTTATAGCTTCAATCGTTCGTGTTTTTTTTGATACGAACGTATGTATTTATACATTCACAAGAATATCAATTCATGTACATATTGTATATGTAACGATGGGTTTTGTATGTACGTAATTTGACTTTTATTGCCAATCAAAATTACTTTTAACTCATGTCAGTTTAAACCCTTAAGTTTGTGTTGTTTTCTCGATGGTGTTGCGGTGTTTTTTTTTTTTATTTTTACGATTTCCATAGAAATTTTTTTACAAAATTATTGAGTTGACGATGATGATTATTTACAATAAAATATAAGCAGATTCACGTTTTTAAAGTGTATTGAGTATTAAAATCTAAAAAAACGAATTTTTTTAAAGGACATTTTTCCTTTTAAATAAATTCCATGAAAAAGTTAATTGTGGCGTATAAATGATTTTTGGTAATTAAATAACAATCATCCGTCATGTTGTCCAATGTCAATTGTATCAAGATATGATCAAAATTATCGTATAAAAATATAATTTATCGGAAATTGTCTATTATATGAAATTTTTCTCAAATATTCTGTATAAAGGAAATTTATCGAAATTTATTATATTTATTCCTATAAAAGAAAATTTATTGAAAATTTCCTATAAAAAGAAAGATTTTCAAAAATTTCCTATAAAAAGAAAATTTATCGAAAATTTTCTGTAACGAGAAAATTTATCGAAAATTTCCTATAAAAAGAAAATTTATCGAAAATTTTCTATAAAATAAAAATTTATCGATGATTCCCTATAAAGACAATATTTTTCGATAATTCCCTATAAAAAGAAAATTTATCGATAATTTCCTATAAAAAGAAAATTTATCGAAAAAAAATTATTTATCCTAAATATAATGATAAATTTTGTCGATAATTCCCTATAAAATGAAAATTTATCGAAAATGCCTATAAATATTAAAATTTATCGAAAAGTTCCTATAAAAAGAAAATTTATCGAAAATTTCATATAAAAAGAAAATTTATCGAAAATTTCCTATAAAAAGAAAATTTATTGAAAATTTCGTATAAAAAGAAAATTTATCGAAATTTTCCTATAAAAAGAAAATTTATCTAAAATTTCCTATATAATGAAAATTTATCGGAAATTTCCTATTAAATGAAAATTTATCGAAAATTTCCTATAAAAAGAAAATTTATCGATAATTTCATATAAAAAGGAAAATATCTAGAAATTTTCCTATAAAAAGAAAATTTACCGAAAAAACCTTATGAAAAGAAAATTTATCGAAAATTTCCTATAAAATGAAAATTTATCGATTTTCGTTAAAATTTCTTTTAAAAGAAAATTTTTATATAAAAAGAAATTTATCAATAATTTCCTACAAAAATCAAATTCTATACATCTGTCGAAAATTTCCTATAAAAAGATAATTTACGGTAAATTTTCTAATAAACTGACAATTTATCGGATAAAAGAGAAAATTTATCAAAAATAACATTTCTGAACTAATAACAATCCGAAAACAAAAAATTTTAATTCTATTGTTTTAAAACACACCATATAGAAAATATTGTTGCATTTCTTTCATTTTACACCAGCTCAAGGTTAAGTTTAAGAAAAAAATAATATTATAAAAGCAAAAAAAAAAAAATCCGTTTATTGACTTAAATAAAAACTTTTCCTAGAAAAACCTCGGCCAAAATATGAGAAAATGAAAGAACGGTCATGACCATGAAATAATCTTGTAAAATAGCAAAATGTTACAAACATTCAATATTTTACAATCTGGTTAAAACGTTCGTGTTGCGTTGCTACTGTTGTTGATGTCGATGTTGCTTGTTTTTGGCTCTGATATCTAAGACTTTGATTTATTTTCATTTTAAGTTTATACATGTGTATACTTCTACTATATTATTTTGGCCAAATGTAAAATGTTTCTTATGCTTCTTTTACTTTACGTGTTTCTTTAATTTTAAAGGAGTTTCTTAGCAAATTGTTTATTAATAAAGTTTTTTGGTTTTTTATTTGTTTAACGAAATAAATAAATAACAACAAAAGTATTAAAACAAATAATGCTAAAGTATGGTATTTATTTTATTTTCTGTTGGTTTTTGCTGTTATTTTTTTGTTTTCATTGCTGTAGACAACTAAATTAAGGCCTTAACCAAATCAGTTAACACCATGTTAATTTATTATAATTTAACCATAAAAGCCATCAATTAGTGATAAAATTAATGAAATTTGAAAATAAAGTGAAATTTATTTGGAAAACATTTTTGTGTGTGTTAATCGGACGGGTTAGAGTAAATTTTGTTACTTCTTTCTTTTTAAATGTCATTATGGCAAACATGGTGTGAGAAATATTAATTGGTTTAATGCGTCTAGATTTATTGGCTATCAGACAGAAATATATTAAAAAAGTACCTATAATTAATTTTTGTACTAATAATATTAGTTTATGACTCTTGAACTAGAACTGAACTAGAACTGAACTAGAACTAAACTAGAGCTGAATTAGAACTGAACTAGAACTGAACTAGAAACTGAACTAGAACCTGAACTAGAACTAACTAGAACTGAACTAGAACTGAACTAGAACTGAACTAGAACTGAACTAGAACTGAACTAGAACTGAACTAGAACTGAACTAGAACTGAACTAGAACTGAACTAGAACTGAACTAGAACTGAACTAGAACTGAACTAGAACTGAACTAGAACTGAACTAGAACTGAACTAACTGAACTAGAACTGAACTAGAACTGAACTAGAACTGAACTAGAACTGAACTAGAACTGAACTAGAACTGAACTAGAACTGAACTAGAACTGAACTAGAACTGAACTAGAACTGAACTAGAACTGAACTAGAACTGAACTAGAACTGAACTAGAACTGAACTAGAACTGAACTAGAACTGAACTAGAACTGAACTAGAACTGAACTAGAACTGAACTAGAACTGAACTAGAACTGAACTAGAACTGAACTAGAACTGAACTAGAACTGAACTAGAACTGAACTAGAACTGAACTAGAACTGAACTAGAACTGAACTAGAACTGAACTAGAACTGAACTAGAACTGAACTAGAACTGAACTAGAACTGAACTAGAACTGAACTAGAACTGAACTAGAACTGAACTAGAACTGAACTAGAACTGAACTAGAACTGAACTAGAACTGAACTAGAACTGAACTAGAACTGAACTAGAACTGAAATAGAACTGACTACTAGAACTGAACTAGAACTGAACTAGAACTGAACTAGAACTGAACTAGAACTGAACTAGAACTGAACTAGAACTGAACTAGAACTGAAACTAGAACTGAACTAGAACTGAACTAGAACTGAACTATAACTGAACTAGAACTGAACTAGAACTGAACTAGAACTGAACTAGAACTGAACTAGAACTGAACTAGAACTGAACTAGAACTGAACTAGAACTGAACTAGAACTGAACTAGAATTGAACTAGAACTAGAACTGAACTAGAACAGAAAGTGATTATAACATTAAAGATTTATACTGTTGCCAATTATTATTTTAATAAAAATTTTTCATATTATTCATTATTAATTAAATATTTTGTCCAATAAATAATTTCCATTTAAGTATAAATTATTAACGCTTAAATTGTAAGAAATATTTTTCCATCTAAATATTACTTATATCTATACATTTTGATAGATGTCGATTGAAGAATTGGCAATTAATCTAATTGCAAAGTTATTTTACAATAAATTAACTGAAATATACAAAAGTTCACCAATGACATTATAGAAAATTAAAGGCGGAACCTAAACTTTTTAATCCAATTATTGAACTCATTAGCACTAATGTTGATAAAAATTATTAAAGAAATAAAAAGTTAAATAATTTTTTTTTACTTTATTATTTAATGCTAATAAATCTAAGAATTATAATGGAAGAAGTTATTTCTGCTTAAAGAAATAAAAAATGCAAATGGCCTTGAGAGAAAAGCGACAAATTGAACATGACATTTTATTAGTTGTAACATGAATGTTGGGAAAATGATGATGAATAATCAATACTGCGAGTATTACAATAGAACTAATAAATTTTCCGAAGACTACAATGTCTACTTAGTAGCAATCCAACATTTCTACGACAGCAACTACTAGGACGAAGTAAATCATGTATATTTCAATAATCTAATCTTAAACATAGATGACATTAACATAAATGTAAAAGACACAATCCAAATGGTATGCAGAGTAAAGCAAAAATATGAGAAAAGTACTAGTAACACCAGAAGTGGTATGTTATATTCCTGCAATTCTTAGTCTTTTTTCGAGAAGGAAATAAGTTGAACTTAAATCACATTTGGTTACATCTCTGAACTACAAAAAGCACAAATAACTTAAAACTATAAAAATTATATTCAAAAAACTGGATAAATTTTGTATCCTTGGCTCCTTTCAAAACTATTGGAATTTATCGTACATTTCCATTAAGAATGTCATATATCAATATCCCTGGATAAACTGAATACTGAAAAATGGCCAACATGTTATTAAAAAATAGTAAAAACGGCAGAAATAATCAAAGAATTTATTTTTCTAAAGTTTAGTTATCGAATTAAGACACTCTTAAGGTAAATGTGAGATATGTATCCTTCAGACTGAAGATTTTTACTACCAAGTTAAAACTCTTATTGAATAAATTATTATCAATAATAATTTGCTAAAGAGATTCTATATTTTCTAATACTTGTCATTTAACAAGTCTAACAAGGATTCAAGCACGCACAACGACATAATCAGACACACATTCTAGGACCGACAAAAACACCGTCACATACACATTCATAAAGCCCAGCCACTTTATTGATAACAACTTTTCATTTATAAAGACCCTGTTTAGTCTCGTAAGTATGTACATAATGAGAATGTCATAGAAATTTATCATCATCTCGTTTATGAGATTTATTTTTTATTTTTTTCATAGTTTATATTTTTATTTTCTTTCTCCCATTCGCCTTAGAAATAATATTAGAAATGTATCTCTTCTTTATTGGCTGTTTTTATTTTTGAAAATATTAAAAAAAATGCAATAGTATCTCTATAAAATATGGTAACCTAGGTGATGTTGGTGCAGGAACTAAAACTGAGCTAGAACTGAACAAATATTCCCAATCTTCCTTTTTTTGTATTTTATCTACAAACCATGTTTATGGTTATTCTCTCTAAATTTTATTTTGTATGGTAAAGGGAAAAAAATCATTCTTTTCTGTAGAAATTTAGTAGACCATTTCTTTATACAAAAAACTGATAGGAAAAAAACAAAAACATAAAATAAAGTGCAATCGCAAAAATTTAAAAAAACTAATAGGAAAAAATTATAAAAATACATTCATAACATAAAATAAAGTGCAATCGCAAAAAGAGTTTCTGGAAATTTAATTACAAAATTTTTAAGAAACCTAAATATGATTAGGAAATAAATGCATTATAAGATAAATCGGACATGGATTTATTACAAACCACTAAATATTTGGATTGTGTTTCTTTAAATAGGTATAAATATGTCAGTTATACATAAGTTCCCATTCTTCATTGCTCTCTTGACAACGACCCTTAACAAAATACTTAAAATATAATAATGGCAATGATAAGTTTTTCGTACCTTTGCACAGCCAAAGCCAGAGTCAACCATATTGAGGCCGTATGACACATTGTAGGCATTATCTGAAAATATAATGATAAAGAGAAAAATTAAAGTCATATAAACAATGAAAGCAAACAATCTTACAAGCAAAACAAACATAAAAGGAAACAATTTGTATTATTAAAATTGACTTTGTATTGTTTACTTATTTTGCAGCACTTGGCTACTTGATGTTTGTTAGTTGTTATAATTTTTTTATTTCTCTTTGTTTCCTATTATTTTCTTGCCTCTTTGTTGTTATCAAACAAAAGAAAAAAGTCAAATATTGTCAACTTTGGTAGATAAAATTCCAGGAAATCAACGTTGACTTTTATAAAAGCTGTCAAGATATACATCAGTTCTAGTTCAATTCTAGTTCAGTTCTAGTTCAGTTCTAGTTCAGTTCTAGTTCAGTTCTAGTTCAGTTCTAGTTCAGTTCTAGTTCAGTTCTAGTTCAGTTCTAGTTCAGTTCTAGTTCAGTTCTAGTTCAGTTCTAGTTCAGTTCTAGTTCAGTTCTAGTTCAGTTCTAGTTCAGTTCTAGTTCAGTTCTAGTTCAGTTCTAGTTCAGTTCTAGTTCAGTTCTAGTTCAGTTCTAGTTCAGTTCTAGTTCAGTTCTAGTTCAGTTCTAGTTCAGTTCTAGTTCAGTTCTAGTTCAGTTCTAGTTCAGTTCTAGTTCAGTTCTAGTTCAGTTCTAGTTCAGTTCTAGTTCAGTTCTAGTTCAGTTCTAGTTCAGTTCTAGTTCAGTTCTAGTTCAGTTCTAGTTCAGTTCTAGTTCAGTTCTAGTTCAGTTCTAGTTCAGTTCTAGTTCAGTTCTAGTTCAGTTCTAGTTCAGTTCTAGTTCAGTTCTAGTTCAGTTCTAGTTCAGTTCTAGTTCAGTTCTAGTTCAGTTCTAGTTCAGTTCTAGTTCAGTTCTAGTTCAGTTCTAGTTCAGTTCTAGTTCAGTTCTAGTTCAGTTCTAGTTCAGTTCTAGTTCAGTTCTAGTTCAGTTCTAGTTCAGTTCTAGTTCAGTTCTAGTTCAGTTCTAGTTCAGTTTCTAGTTCAGTTCTAGTTCAGTTCTAGTTCAGTTCTAGTTCAGTTCTAGTTCAGTTCTAGTTCAGTTCTAGTTCAGTTCTAGTTCAGTTCTAGTTCAGTTCTAGTTCAGTTCTAGTTCAGTTCTAGTTCAGTTCTAGTTTAATTCTAGTTCAGTTCTAGTTCAGTTCTAGTTCAGTTCTAGTTCAGTTCTAGTTCAGTTCTAGTTCAGTTCTAGTTCAGTTCTAGTTCAGTTCTAGTTCAGTTCTAGTTCAGTTCTAGTTCAGTTCTAGTTCAGTTCTAGTTCAGTTCTAGTTCAGTTCTAGTTCTAGTTCAGTTCTAGTTCAGTTCTAGTTCAGTTCTAGTTCAGTTCTAGTTCAGTTCTAGTTCAGTTCTAGTTCAGTTCTAGTTCAGTTCTAGTTCAGTTCTAGTTCAGTTCTAGTTCAGTTCTAGTTCAGTTCTAGTTCAGTTCTAGTTCAGTTCTGGTTCAGTTCTAGTTCTCAGTTCAGTTCTAGTTCAGTTCTAGTTCAGTTCTAGTTCAGTTCTAGTTCAGTTCTAGTTCAGTTCTAGTTCAGTTCTAGTTCAGTTCTAGTTCAGTTCCTAGTCAGGTTCAGTTCTAGTTCAGTTCTTAGTTCAGATTCTAGTTCAGTTCTAGTTAGTTCTAGTCAGTTCTAGATCAGTTCTAGTTCAGTTCTAGTTTCAGTTCTAGTTCAGTTCTACTTCAGTTCTAGTTCAGTTCAGTTCGTTCTAGTTAAGTTCTTAGTTCAGTTCTAGTTCAGTCTAGTTCAGTTCTAGTTCAGTTTCTAGTTCAGTTCTAGTTCAGTTCTAGTTCAGTTCTAGTTCAGTTATAGTTCCAGTTCTGTTCAGTTCTAGTTCTAGTTCTCGTTCAGTTCAGTTCAGTTCTAGTTCAGTTCTGTTTCAGTTCTAGTCAGTTCATAAGTTCTAGTTCAGTTCTAGTTCAAGTTCTAGTTCAGTTCTAGTTCGTTCAGTCAGTTCTCGTTCAGTTCTAGTTCAGTTCTATTCAGTTTCTAGTTCAGTTCTAGTTCAGTTCTAGGTTCAGTTCTAGTTACAGTATCTAGTTCAGTTCTAGTTCAGTTCTAGTTCAGTTCTAGTTCAGTTCTAGTTTCAGTCTAGTCAGTTCTAGTTCAGTTAGTTCAGTTCTAGTTCAGTTCTAATTCAGTTCTAGTTCAGTTCTAGTTCAGTTCTAGTTCAGTTCCAGTTCAGTTCTAGTTCAGTTCTAGTTCAGTTCTAGTTCAGTTCTAGTTCAGTTCTAGTTCAGTTCTAGTTCAGTTCTAGTTCAGTTCTAGTTCAGTTCTAGTTCAGTTCTATATTAGACTGACAGCTGGATGGTTTTATTGCACATGTATGAGAACATCCCAAAATAAATAATACATTCATAAAATATGTACATATGTATGTATCTATGCATGTTGTTTGCTGTTAAAGGATTTTTTCATATAAAGTTTGGGCATTAGATGGGCCAAGTAGCATATATAAATAAAATAAAAATTTCTTAAATATACAGTAAAAATATTTTCATTCTTTTAAATAGCATTACTTTAGCTAATGACAGTACAAAAACTTTGAATTAAAACTTTTTTCAATGCCAATTCCCTGTGAATAGGAACCTCCTTATTTAAATACCCTAACATTAACATTTCGTTACATTTGCATCGTTTGACCTTTTCACAAAAAACTTTTTTTTTTGTTATATTCATTAACTTTTAGATTTTTAATCTCTTGCCCCCAATTGAGAATATTCAGAAAAAGTGATAGCAATTTATAGTCAAACAAAAAAAGTTTATGTGAATTTATTTTCGTTATTTTTTTTTTGCGCTTTTAAAATATAAATTAGAAATTAAATGTGAAAATATTTTCATAGCTGTCATAATTGCGTATAGGGGGTTATGTGAAAAATAAGAACTCTAATTACAACTACTACTACTGCTGATACTTCATGACCCCATTTTTCATTTATTATGATATGCACATGAATTGACTTACAACTGAACCAAAATATTCATATTACACTAGACAAAATAAGAGAAAAAAGAAATATAAAATTTCAGCGAGTAGAAAATTATGGAAAAACTAAATGTAGTAATTTTCAACACTATTCATCAGTAGTAAAAAGGGTGAATAAATACTATGTGTTATTTATATTAACATATTTTAAATTATCTAAAAATATAGTGTTTTGATTAAAATATTTTGGAATATTTTTGAGAAAGTTTATTTTCATTTCTGAGTATAAATTGGGTTTTTAGAAGAAGACTTAATTTAGAAGCTGGGGTACACATCTGTTTAATAAGATAATTAGAACGGTTTTCATATATTATTTATTTATATATTTTCACGGACTCTTTCCCCTTTTTTGATAACTCTTTATACAAACATTTTCAATTTGATTCATTATCGTTATTACAATCTCATTTCTTCTTTTTTTAAATTTTTAATATCTTTGACAAGCTCAAGTACAAATAGATTTCAAAGTTACACAATAAAATCGTTGACCTAAATCCCTTTCATCAGTAAACATACACTTACAACAGTAGTATGTGTCAGCCTCCTTTACATCCTACCCCTTTTTGCAAACCTTAAAATTGAGGGAAATATTAAACATTGTGGGTGCTTGAGTAAATATGAACAAAGACCATATATTCCAATACAAATATTCGTGTGCACACACATACATAATTTTAGTCCTAAATGTAAGTAAGTATCTACATACTTATATATGTAAAAACGCCTTTAATTTAACACTAATAACATGTTCATTTTTTTCCTTCAAACGCTTTTTGCCTTAAGTAATACTGCTGTAGCTATAGCTTTCAGTTTTCTGTTTAAGTTGGGAAAAAAATGGCAAAATATTTTTCCTACAACGATGTTGGTGACAGCAGCGATGGTGTCAATGATGTCGTTAATGATGATTATATAATGTAAACAACATATGAATATGTTGCTAACATATTTAAAATTTACATCATTTGTTGACGGCGTTGAAGAAGAAAAAAATTTACAACAAATGTGTAGAACTACACTGCTCTTGTATTTAGTGTGTAAATATTTAAAGCTTGTTAACCCTTTTTGCTATAGTAATTGTAGTTTTTGTTGTTGCTGTGCACAATAAACTTGTTTCTGTATGATGATATAGGGGCTGTAAGGGGCTACTTAGAGCAACCAGGCGCAAAGAATTATGATGCAAGTTATTATGGCTGAACAAGTCAAGTAATTATAATGGATTTTTATGCTAAAGAATGGGGTGCTAAGTGAGTCAGTAAAAACTTTTAATGTTTTTTTATTAAGAATTTTAAGGGAATTTGAAAGCAACAATGGATCAGATGGACCTTTTTAAAGATAGAAAATAAAGCCATATTACACTACATGTTGCATTTTGGTTTTGAACCTAGTTCGACCTTCTCGACTTTTTCATAAAATTACTCAATAACAACATAATATCCTATTTACTGTCAATTATATTTCCAAAATACATAATATTTTACCTTCACTTCATTACAATTTACAATATCAGCATATTTCTAAAGAAAACTATTCACAATATCCATATTAAGAAAATTTATTTAATAAGAAAATTATTAAAATTATAGAGAAAATCCTTTTTAAACTACCACATCAAGGATGTACATTTAATAATCTAAATTACATTTCACTCATACACACACACACACGAAAGTATACATACACTTCATTTCCCTCATCACTAAACAATTCCCATTTCAATAACGACGACAACATGTCAATATGTTGTTAGTTGCTGCTATTGCAGCTAAGCAACGACAAGATGAGCAATATACCAACAACAGCAACACAAACAAATAGAATAACAATAAACCAAGCCGCAACCCATAACAGCAGCAAGAACAACAAAAACAACAACAACATTATCATCAATATCGTTTTGCACCATTGCGACGAGAGAATGAGAGTTAAGCAGAAATATGAAATAACTAATTTTGTACCAAGAAGATAGAGAAATGAGTGAAAGTGTCAGTATATATGACTAGTATGTATGTATAGACACTAGACTGACAGTGATAAATGTATTTGTGGTGTGATATTTTTACACTTATAACAATTGTGTTTATTTTAGTTTGGTTTGTGTTTTTTTTTTCTTTGTCTCGAAATGACATATGACAACAATGAAATGACTTTTAAAAAATTTTAGACTAAAGTTTTCTTTAGAAATATTATTTTATCATACTATTTCAAAGAATTATTCAAATTTTTTTATTTTTGTTATTGGGGGTTTTTAGTTAAATTTTTTTCTTGCAGGTTTTTTGTTGTTTTAGAAACTATGTATAATTTTTTTATTTTTCATTAATCAATATTACATTTTAAGAATCATCAGTTTTTTTAATGCCATTTTCGTATGTCATTTTTCATTTCCTTGAATATGTAAGCAACTATTGATGGTAATAGTAAACTATTATAAAGAATAGTGTGGCTATAAATTTATAGTAGTAATTTTGGCTGATTACTGCGGCTGTAGATTAGACTATATATAGTCTAGAATATAAACTACACTATGGACTTGACTATTGACTAGACTATAAACAAGAATATAGACAAAAATTCAGACTAGACTATACAATAGACTAGACCATATACAAGACTATAGACTAGACTATAGACTAGACTATAGACTAGACTATAGACTAGACTATAGACTAGACTATAGACTAGACTATAGACTAGACTATAGACTAGACTATAGACTAGACTATAGACTAGACTATAGACTAGACTATAGACTAGACTATAGACTAGACTATAGACTAGACTATAGACTAGACTATAGACTAGACTATAGACTAGACTATAGACTAGACTATAGACTAGACTATAGACTAGACTATAGACTAGACTATAGACTAGACTATAGACTAGACTATAGACTAGACTATAGACTAGACTATAGACTAGACTATAGACTAGACTATAGACTAGACTATAGACTAGACTATAGACTAGACTATAGACTAGACTATAGACTAGACTATAGACTAGACTATAGACTAGACTATAGACTAGACTATAGACTAGACTATAGACTAGACTATAGACTAGACTATAGACTAGACTATAGACTAGACTATAGACTAGACTATAGACTAGACTATAGACTAGACTATAGACTAGACTATAGACTAGACTATAGACTAGACTATAGACTAGACTATAGACTAGACTATAGACCTAGATATAGACTAGACTATAGACTAGACTATTAGACTAGACTATAGACTAGACTATAGACTAGACTATAGACTAGACTATAGACTAGACTATAGACTAGACTATAGACTAGACTATAGACTAGACTATAGACTAGACTATAGACTAGACTATAGACTAGGACTATAGACTAGACTATAGACTAGACTATAGACTAGACTATAGACTAGATATAGACTAGTAGACTAGCCTATAGACTAGACTATAGACTAGAATATAGACTAGACTATAGACTAGACTATAGACTAGACTATAGACTGACTAGGACTAGACTATAGACTAGACTATAGACTAGGACTATAGACTAGGACTATAGACTAGACTATAGACTAGATATAGCTAGACTATAGACTAGACTATAGACTAGACTATAGAGTAGACTATAGACTAGACTATAGACTAGACTATAGGACTAGACTATAGGACTAGACTATAGACTAGACTATAGGACTAGACTATACTAGACTAGACTATAGACTAGACTATAGACTAGACTATAGACTAGACTATAGACTAGACTATAGACTAGACTATAGACTAGACTATAGACTAGACTATAGACTAGACTATAGACTAGACTATAGACTAGACTATAGACTAGAGACTATAGACTAGACTATAGACTAGACTATAGACTAGACTATAGACTAGACTATAGACTAGACTATAGACTAGACTATAGACTAGACTATAGACTAGACTATAGACTAGACTATAGACTAGACTATAGACTAGACTATAGACTAGACTATAGACTAGACTATAGACTAGACTATAGACTAGACTATAGACTAGACTATAGACTAGACTATAGACTAGACTATAGACTAGACTATAGACTAGACTATAGACTAGACTATAGACTAGACTATAGACTAGACTATAGACTAGACTATAGACTAGACTATAGACTAGACTATAGACTAGAACTATAGACTAGACTATAGACTAGACTATAGACTAGACTAGACTAGACATAGACTAGACTATAGACTAGACTATAGACTAGACTATAGACTAGACTATAGACTAGACTATAGACTAGACTATAGACTAGACTATAGACTAGGACTATAGACTAGACTATAGACTAGACTATAGACTAGCCTATAGACTAGACTATAGACTAGACTATAGACTAGACTATAGACTAGGACTATAGAGCTAGACTATAGACTAGACTATAGACTAGACTATAGACTAGACTATAGACTAACTATAGACTAGACTATAGACTAGACTATAGGCTAGACTATAGAGTAGACTATAGACTAGACTATAGACTACTAGACTAGACTATAGGACTAGACTATAGGCTAGACTATAGACTAGACTATAGACTAGACTATAGGACTAGACTACTAGGACTAGACTATAGGCTAGACTATAGACTAGGACTATAGGAGTAGACTATAGACTAGACTATAGGCTAGACTATAGACTAGACTATAGACTAGACTATAGCAGAAGATAGGACTATAGATAGACTATAGACTATAGACTAGACTATAGACTAGACTATAGACTAGACTATAGACTAGACTATAGACTAGACTATAGACTAGACTATAGACTAGATTAGACTAGACTATAGACTAGACTATAGACTAGACTATAGACTAGACTATAGACTAGACTATAGACTAGACTATAGACTAGACTATAGACTAGACTATAGACTAGACTATAGACTAGACTATAGACTAGACTATAGACTAGACTATAGACTAGACTATAGACTAGACTATAGACTAGACTATAGACTAGACTATAGACTAGACTATAGACTAGACTATAGACTAGACTATAGACTAGACTATAGACTAGACTATAGACTAGACTATAGACTAGACTATAGACTAGACTATAGGACTATAGACTAGACTATAGACTAGACTATAGACTAGACTATAGACTAGACTATAGACTAGACTATAGACTAGACTATAGACTAGACTATAGACTAGACTATAGACTAGACTATAGACTAGACTATAGACTAGACTATAGACTAGACTATAGACTAGACTATAGACTAGACTATAGGCTAGACTATAGAGTAGACTATAGACTAGACTATAGAGTGGACTATAGACTAGACTATAGACTAGACTATAGACTAGACTATAGAGTAGACTATAGAGTAGACTATAGAGTAGACTATAGAGTAGACTATAGACTAGACTATAGACTAGACTATAGACTAGACTATAGACTAGACTATAGAGTAGACTATAGAGTAGACTATAGACTAGACTATAGACTAGACTATAGACTAGACTATAGGCTAGACTATAGACTAGACTATAGACTAGATTATAGACTAGACTATAGACTAGACTATAGACTAGACTATAGACTAGACTATAGACTAGACTATAGACTAGACTATAGACTAGACTATAGACTAGACTATAGACTAGACTATAGACTAGACTATAGATTAGACTATAGGCTAGACTATAGGCTAGACTATAGGCTAGACTATAGACTATAGACTAGACTATAGACTAGACTATAGACTAGACTATAGATTAGACTATAGATTAGACTATAGACTAGACTATATACTAGACTATAAAATTGAATTTGATTGATTGTAACTCATTTTTGATTTTATTCATTTGAATTGTTAGGCATTGTTCTAATTTATTTGAATGAATTCGAAATGAAATCAAATCAAATAAATCGGAAATGAAATTGCATTTTATTTTACAGCTTTATTTGAATTGAAAAAGAATTGCAACTAATTTCTGCAAATTCAGTGAATTGAAATTTATTTCTGCCTAACTAATGTGCTTTTATTTAAATTACATACAATTATTTTTTCTTATGAAAAAATTTAATTCAAAATTTGTGTAATTCGTAACGAATTCTGCCTTATTTAGGTACATAATACAAAATCTTTGTACTACACGACGTATGATTATTTGTATTTATTAAATATCTATCATACGTACTGTATGTTTAAGTAACTTTCATGTTACTATTGAGCAAATTAGAATTTGATAGAAACAAAGAATTTTTTTAAGTTTTTAATAAATATCTTCAATATTATAAGCTGAACTTACCTCATTTAATATTTGATAAATATAACACACTGACACCGGCTGCAGCGGTTTATAATGATTACCAAATGTGTACATATACCAAATACCAGGAGCAGGAAATATCACCGTTAACATGTCATAAATAGCCATACCTGTAACAAAAACAATTAAATATTAATTAACATTTTCTTTTTTACTTTTTTAAAATTTAAAACTAAGGGTGAGCAGAAAAAGGAGAATATTAAGAAACTAAATGAAGAAGTGTTGAATTAAGTAAAATTTTCTAAATTAAAAAATGTTCGGTCCGCAGATTTAAAAATACTTTTTCAATAAATTGGAACTTTCTCTTTTCTAGGGAGAAGCCTAAATTTAGCACGGCATCATTTAATCAGTTAATTATACTTTTTTTAATTTGTCCTACCGTTGTTAACAATAACTATTAAAACTTATAATTAACATTAAATACTGTATGCAGGCTGTTGTATATAAAAAAAGTCCAATGGAAATTTTGCAAACACATGCTTGTTTATAAAAGTAGGACTTTACTGATTTTCTAACAATTTTTCTGGTAGTTATAGCAACTACCATAAAAAGTTGTTAACAACTGCAACTATGAGTAAATGGGAAAAATCATAATAAATTACTAGACTCTACCGTAAACAGGAGGTTGAATGTTTTCTTGGCTTTAATTAACATGGTTATTTATTTTTTTTATTTGGTTTATGGTTGAAATTTGATTGGCATAAGAAATATAATGGCAAATATATTAGATGACATTATGTCAATATAGCAGAAATAATAAACCAAATATATGCCCTTTGGAGGAGAAATGATGTATTTATTTTCAAATTTCACAGGTTATTTACAAAGTGATAAACTTGGGGTTTTACGCAAACAGGTTGTATAAAAGTAGAAATACTTTACTAGTCTGAGAGGCCCTTCCTTTTAAAAACAGCAATATCATTTGAAATCTAATAACAAATTTGAAGACAATTTCAAGCTCTTGTTGCCCAATTTAGTTAAGAATTGAAAATGTCTACACATTTAATTCTAATAACAGTTATACAATAAAGTATTTTCATAAATTATATCCAAACCCAACACATAAACATAAATTAATAAAAAATAATAATAATCTAATCATACAATAGCAACTTAAAAAGTGGCAAGCAACCAAGCATATTTTGATTATTATTTGTGTAACCGGAGGAGTCTGTTACTAAGAATTTCCTGTTGTTGAAAAATTAACATTATCAGGCAGACTGAAAGACAGACAGACAGGCAGATAGACAGACAGTCACTCACTTAATGTTTCTTTGCGTTTTCACTTGATTATAAACGGCGACCCACATAATAAAATAAAATTATTATTTAATGCTTTAGGCCATGAAACATGATAATTTTATTAAATTAACTACAAAATAGCAACAGCGGCATTAACAACAAAAACAACACCGAAAAAGAAAACCTTAAGAAAATGAGAAAAAAAACTAATGAATAAAAAATATATATATAGAAAAATAGCTAATACTAGCTACTTTTTACTGATGACGATGACTATGCTACTAAACATGATAATGTCAATTATTTTAATATAAAATGTTTTTTTTAAGAAAAGATTATATTAAACAATTTGCTTTAGTACTAGTTTTCTGTATAAATTTTTAGCATTCTCTGGCATTTCAAAATCATTTAATAGTTTTACTTTTATCATACTTAAGTTTACTATGGTCATGCCACCACCCCTACTGCAAATGCTAGAAAATTCTTAACGTTTAGTTATTGTCGTTTAGGGGAGATGTAGATTTTAGTTGTATGCGTTTTAAATTTACTCCATTTTCTTATTTTGTCATTATTTTATGGACTTTAGAAATTGTTTAGTTTTTGTTTCTACTACTGCAACTGCTGTTGAAAAATATTAACATGATTTAACTGCATAATAAAATAGTTCTTTTCTGGAGTAGATTATCTATAGAATAGGGGAGCATTTCTAAAGGATTTCAAATTCACATATAAGAAGGGTGGGATTGTTTTTGAGCTTAGGATTTGTAAACAGTAAAATTTACTTATTTTCAGTAAAACCGACTGGATAATACATTACTCCTTATCTTATTTTTAACGAAAAAGATTTTGAACAAAACCTTCGTTTTAGTTAAATGTGATCTGCCCCATTCAACAGTAATTGCAAATGAGATAATTTGCATGAAATGGAAAAATCCCTTATAAAAAGCAAATCGTTTTATTCGCTCAAAGTTAAGTATGGACTGACCTTTAACCATTAGGTGTAAAGGAAAAGTTTTTTGAAACGCTGTGGTTTCTTATACTATCGGCTGCATTTAGATCTTTAGTTAAAATGGATAACCAAGAAGTATTATCCATCTGGTCTGGTGACCAGATCTACATTCAGTTTACTTTAATATCAGTCCTTGATTATTTCTTCAAAAATACCAACAGACTAGTCAATAAACCAGTCCATAAACTAGACCATTGAAATGTTAGTAGAATGATCTATTAAATGTTCAATAGATAGAATAGATTAGCCAATGGACTAGTCAATATACTTTACAATGTACAAGATAATAGACTAGTCAATAGTATAATAAATAGATTAGTTAATAGTGTAGACACTAAACTAGTCAAGAGTCTAATCAATGGACTAGTCCATATATAAGTCACTAACCTAGACAGTAAGTAGTCTAAAGACTAGTTATTGTCAATATTCTAGTAAATATATACATAAGTCAATAGATTAGTCAATAGATATGGCAATAAAACTACTCCATAGATTAGTCCCTAAGGTAGTAAGTTGACTAGTCCATATACAAGCCACTATACTTGTCAGTAAACTAGTGCATAGACTAGTCATTAGACAATTTTATCGACTAGTTAGTAGTCTATTGACTATTCCGTTGACATATCTTTTTAATAATCTGTTGACTATTTCGTTGACATATCTTTTAATTAACCTATTGACTGACTAGTCTATGAAGTAGAATAATCAATAGACTATTTGCTAGATAAGTCAGTAGAATAGTCAATTGACAAGTCAAAAGACTAGTCATTGGAATAACCAATGGACGATCCAATATACTAGCCAATAGACCAGTCAAGAGAGTAGTCGGTAGACTAGTCAATAAGTAGGCAGTAGACGAGGCATTAGACTTGTCAGTTGACTAGTCAGTAGACTTTTCAGTTCCCTAGTCTATTAAAATTTTAAGAATTTTAAAATTATGTTAAAAGTCTTACGATAAAATAATTGTAATTTAGATTTGACATTGATTTTCACTGGACTTTTTAGCTTGAACTGATCCGAGGACTTAGAATATCACCTATTCTTCGACATCAATAAGTTGATCTTTACTGACCAAACCTTAGAGATGTTTGTTTCCCATTTATTTAGCAATTTAAAATTAAAAAAATGGTCACCGTTTTATTAACCCTATAATTTTTAATTTGAGCATAAAATTAATTTTACTCCCAGTAACTTAATATAAAGACATTTGTATAGATTACTTAAGCTTATCTGTGCGTTTGATTATAGAAATATATTTTAACTTTCTCGTAGTGCAACATCAATAACACATAAACCTAAAGTGCCTGCTTTAAAGTGCATCAAAAAGAAAACTATTTCACTTGACAACAAAACTTTTTACAACAAACTTTCATTGGATTGGATACTTTCAAAATGCTTGGTCATTAAATAGAATTGACAAAATCCATATTTAGTGTTATTGATCATAAAAGTTTATCTATGCACTAACCACAATGTATAAAAAAAAAGCTAACTGGACTTTTCAATTATTAAAGGGGAGTTCTGTTGGAAATGGAAGAAAATATTGTTGTTAAAATAATAGGAATAGAAGGCTGTAGATTTAAACTAGTTGATAGGACTAGGAAAGTTGTATTAAGGTCGGCATAAATCGAACTAGCAAGCCACATACTAATGGACTCTAGTAAATTTTTAAATGTTTAGATTACTTCTTAATATAAAACTCTCCATATGTGTAGAACAAACACTTTAAATCCCCTTTTTTTATAAGTGTCATGAGTGCATTAATCTAATTTATAGTTTTAGTTATTTGCATTGTTGGCAGTTGTAATAAATTTTATATACTTGCACAGCTATTCCCTTTAGATTTAAAGCTTCACTAAAATTTATGTTTAATAAAGATGTATTGGTGGACCATAAAGTTCAATTCGATAATATGAGGGAAGAGTTAAGTTTTATGAGTTAAAACTATACTAGTTGCAATCTAAAGAAGCTTCACAAAGAGTAAATATAGTTTAACAATAAGTTATTAAACTGGTTTATGTTAAAAATTTAACGTAAAACTTAGAAATATAATATGTAGAAAAATAGTCAAATTTACTCACCCATTAGTACAAAATTGGTAGGCGTTGACATTTTCTTTTTACTCAATATCAAAACAATCAATGAATTCGATAGTACTGTTGTTATCAGCAGGAATGGCATACTATAGCCATATAAAGGTACAATGTATTCTACAGGTGAATCACAAGTTACATTCCAATACGATTGATTTGTTAAAAAATCAAAATTCTGACAACGCTCTTCGCCATAATATAAATCAGAAAAATTCATAGGACCATGTCTTGTATTGTTGTTTATACCGCCATCGAGTGTATTAAGATAATTGCTGGCTGAATTGATAAATACATCTCCACTAGCTTCATAAGCAACACTACCACTGGCACTGTTAGCACCAACACTACCACTACCCCCGCCACCTCCTCCTCCACCACCATCACCTGTCCAACCCGAGGGGGCTGAGGTATCGTAGGAATAAATTGTATTATTATTTTTCATATTATTATAACTGACAGCCATAGAGGGATCCATAACGGCAGCTACAGTTTCTGTTATGGCGGTACTATAGATTTCTTGTAAATTCATTTTTGAAATATTATTATTGGCAATTAATTTATTCGTGTTACAGAAAATTATTTTTTGCAGCAATTTTTTTTATTTCTATGTTTTATAAATTCATAGTTAATATGTTGTTAATCTATGTAAATTTTTTATAATCAAGTTTTTCTTCATTTCTCTATTTCCTTATGCTTGACTGCTTTAAATTTTTGCAAAATCTGTAAAGAAAAATAAAAACAAAAACAAAAGTTTAGTTTGTTTTATGTAAATTTTTATGACCTTGAGTGTTTAGTTGAATGTTTATATTTCCGTGTAATTTTTATATACATTTTCTAATATTCAACCAACCCCTTGTGGCAAAGATTATTAAAATGTTTTTAATAGTTTTACGTGATACGCTTTTACGAGTTTTCACTTGTTCTTTCTCTCTCGTTATATCATCATATCTGTTGGGTTTTTAATAACTTTTCTTTTGTTTTATGACCCGTCTTAGGGTGCCCAGATAATAAAAATATTAACTATTATTCATGTCTTAAAATATAATCCTTAAACTAAATTAAAAATGTCCCTTTTTATAGAAAATTTTTGAAAATTTCTTTATTTATAGAAAATTTTTGATAAACTTTAGGTAATTTTTTTTTTAAGAAAATTATCGATAAATTTATCTTTTTTAAATTTTTTTTACATAAAAATTCTTTCTTTTTTATAGCAAATTTCTTTCAGAAAATGTATCTTTTATTAAAGGAAATTTCTTTCGGAAACTTTCTCTTTTTTATAGAAAATTTCTTTGGGAAAATTTATCTTTTTCATAGAAACTTTTTATTTTTAAAGATTTTTTTCGAAAAATTTCTCTTTTTATAGAAAATTTTCGAAAAATTTCTCTTTTTATAGAAAATTTTCGAAAAATTTCTCTTTTTATAGAAAATTTTCGAAAAATTTCTCTTCTTATAGAAAATTTTCGAAAAATTTCTCTTCTTATAGAAAATTTTCGAAAAATTTCTCTTCTTATAGAAAATTTTCGAAAAATTTCTATTCTTATAGAAAATTTTCGAAAAATTTCTCTTCTTATAGAAATTTTTCGAAAAATTTCTCTTCTTATGGAAATTTTCGAAAAATTTCTCTTCTTATGGAAATTTTCGAAAAATTTCTCTTCTTATAGAAAATTTTCGAAAAATTTCTCTTCTTATAGAAAATTTTCGAAAAATTTCTCTTCTTATAGAAAATTTTCGAAAAATTTCTCTTCTTATAGAAAATTTTCGAAAAATTTATCTTCTTATAGAAAATTTTCGAAAAATTTCTCTTCTCATAGAAAATTTTCGAAAAATTTCTCTTCTTATAGAAAATTTTCGAAAAATTTCTCTTTTTATAGAAAATCTTCGGAAAATTTCTCTTTTTATAGAAAATCTTCGGAAAATTTCTCTTTTTATAGAAAATCTTCGGAAAATTTCTCTTTTTATAGAAAATCTTCGGAAAATTTCTCTTTTTATAGAAAATCTTCGGAAAATTTCTCTTTTTATAGAAAATCTTCGGAAAATTTTTCTTTTTATAGAAAATTTTCGGAAAATTTTTCTTTTGATATAACATTTTCGAAAAATTTCTTCTTTGATATAAAATTTTCGAAAGATTTCTCCTTTGATATAAAATTTTCGGAAAATTTATCTTTTAATAGAAAATTTTTCGGAAAATTTCTCTTTCTATAGAAAGTTTTTCAGAAAACTTTCTTTTAGTAGAACAATTTTCGGGAAATTTCAATTTATATAAAAATTTATAGGAAAACTTCTCTTTTTATAGAAAACATTCGGAAAATTTTTCTTTTTATAGAAAATTTTTCGAAAAATGTCTCTTTCTATAGAAATTTTTTTCGGAAAATTTCTCTCTCTATAGAAAAATTTTCGGAAAATTTCTCTTTCTATAGAAAATTTTTCGGAAAATTTCTCTTTCTATAGAAAATTTTTCGGAAAATATCTCTTTCTATAGAACATTTTTTGGAAAATTTCTCTTTCTATAGAAAATTTTTCGGAAAATTTCTCTTTCTATAGAAAATTTTTCGGAAAATTTCTCTTTCTATAGAAAATTTTTCGGAAAATTTCTCTTTCTATAGAAAATTTTTCGGAAAATTTCTCTTTCTATAGGAATATTTTTATAGAAAATTTTGAAAAATTTCTCATTTTATAGAAAATTTTGAAAATTTTGCTTTTTTCGGAATTTTTTTTTTTTATAGAAAAGTTTTAGAAATCTTCGGAAAATTTATATTTTTTATAGAAAATTAAAAAAAAAAATATCTTTTAAAGAAAAATTTCGGAAACGTTATCTTTTTCATATAATATTCGGAAATTGTCTCTTCTCATAGAAAATTTTCAGGAAATTTCTCTTTTCATAGAAAAATTTTCAAAAGCCTTCTCTTTTCATAGAAAAATTTTCAAAAGCCTTCTCTTTTAGAGAGTTTCCGAAAAATTTTGTTGCCCACTCTTAATGCTATTTTCCTCTAGACGCTTTCAAAGCTTCTCTTAACAAAAAATTTCCAACGCATTAAGAAATAATCAACAGTTTTCTAATTGTTCCAAGTGACTGCTTTTTACGTATCCACCAAACTCATAAAACATACACAGTGAAAAACAGTGCTTAGTGCCAATGTTGTGGTACATTTATTTATTTAAATTATTTTGCTAAATTAACTTTAACTTGTCAGGTTCTTGGTCTTGCAACAGCAATTTCAAGCACATTTTATTATTTGTTTGAAAAGCTCAACTGGCCATACGTTGCAGTTCATCTCTAGAGAAATCAATAGAAATATGCATGTACATATGTATGTTGAAAAGAAAATGTGTTTAATTAAATTAAAATATTTTATTTAATTAAACCAAAATTACAAAAGTTTGTTCATTGCTTTTTAGACTAATTAAAAATTAAATACTTAAGGTTGTTACTTTCAAACATAAATTGTTTGTGTCAGAAATAAAATTAATTAAATTTAATTGTTGAACAGTTAGCACTTATGTTATTTAAATATTATTTTTTTCACTTGAATAATTTTATTCATTTATAATTGCAATCATATTTTTATATACTTCTTAAAATCACCTGACATTTTTGTTTTTATTATTTATAGGCCAAATTATTACAGTCTTATACATATTAATTTATTAATGGTTTATAAAACAAACTTTGTATTAAAATTTGTCCTATGAACCTTTGATAAATTGTTATGAATAAAGCCTTAAGAACTATATAATTAATTTACTTTTAAGGAAAAAATCTTTTAAATTATGCAACTAATTATTTTATAAAAAATGCCTGTTCCTAGAAATGGGATAAATTGTTGTTTTTTTATAAAAAACAGCAAACAATTATTTTGTTTATTCTTCATTTAATATATTCTCATGTACATTGGGAAATGCTTTGGAGAATAATTCAAGTGAAGACTAAAACATATTAAACAGAACACAGTATAAGACAAATTTTAAATACTCTATTTACATGCACATTAGAGTGTCCCGAGGAACGGCCTTTTTCCAGTGCTTGAAAATCCTGACCTCAGTATAATTTCGGAAAAATGAAATATCTCCAATTTTATTTATGGCAAAAATAATTTGAAAATTTTGTTAGAGAAATTTTGGTCCACAAAATAATTTATGTTGGCTTGGAAGGAGTATTATTTTGGTCTACTACAGAATAAACTCAAAATTAAGAAATAAAGCGTTAGTTAGTTAGTTAGTTAGTTAGTTAGTTAGTTAGTTAGTTAGTTAGTTAGTTAGGTAGTAGTAGTTAGTTAGTAGTTAGTTAGTTAGTAGTTAGTTAGTTAGTAGTAGTTAGTTAGTTAGTTAGTTAGTTAGTTAGTTGTTAGTTAGTTAGTTAGTTAGTTAGTTAGTTAGTTAGTTAGTTAGGTAGTTAGTAGTTAGTTAGTTAGTTGTTAGTTAGTTAGTTAGTTAGTTAGTTAGTTAGTAGTTAGTTAGTTAGTAGTTAGTTAGTTAGTTAGTTAGTTAGTTAGTTAGTAGTTAGTTAGTTAGTTAGTAGTCGTTAGTTAGTTAGTTAGTTAGTTAGTTAGTTAGTTAGTTAGTAGTAGTTAGTTAGTTAGTTAGTTAGTTAGTAGTTAGTTAGTTAGTTAGTAGGTTAGTTAGTTAGTTAGTTAGTAGTTAGTTAGTTAGTTAGTTAGTTAGTTAGTTAGTAGTTAGTTAGTAGTTAGTTAGTTAGTTAGTTAGTTAGTTAGTTAGTTAGTTAGTTAGTTAGTTAGTTAGTTAGTAGTAGTTAGTTAGTAGTAGTTAGTTAGTTAGTTAGTTAGTTAGTTAGTTAGTTAGTTAGTTAGTTAGTTAGTTAGTAGTTAGTTAGTTAGTTAGTTAGTTAGTTAGTTAGTTAGTTAGTTAGTAGTTAGTTAGTTAGTTAGTTAGTTAGTAGTTAGTTAGTTAGTTAGTTAGTTAGTTAGTAGTTAGTTAGTTAGTTAGTTAGTTAGTAGTAGTTAGTTAGTTAGTTAGTTAGTTAGTCGTTAGTTAGTAGTTAGTAGTTAGTTAGTTAGTTAGTTAGTTAGTTAGTTAGTTAGTTAGTTAGTTAGTTAGTTAGTTAGTTAGTTAGTTAGTTAGTTAGTTAGTTAGTTGTAGTTAGTTAGTTAGTTAGTAGTTAGTTAGTTAGTAGTAGTTAGTTAGTTAGTTAGTTAGTTAGTAGTTAGTTAGTTAGTTAGTAGTTAGTTAGTTAGTTAGTTAGTTAGTAGTTAGTTAGTTAGTTAGTTAGTAGTTTCGTTAGTTAGTTAGTTAGTTAGTTAGTTAGTTAGTTAGTGTTAGTTAGTTAGTTAGTTAGTTAGTTAGTTAGTTAGTTAGTTAGTTAGTTAGTTAGTTAGTAGTTAGGTAGTTAGTTAGTTAGTTAGTTAGTTAGTTAGTTAGTTAGTTAGTTAGTAGTTAGTTAGTTAGTTAGGTTAGTTAGTTGTAGTAGTAGTTAGTAGTTAGTAGTTAGTTAGTTAGTTACGTTAGTTAGTAGTTAGTGTAGTTAGTTAGTTAGTAGTTAGTCGTTAGTTGTTAGTTAGTTTTAGTTAGTTAGTTAGTAGTTAGTTAGTTAGTTAGTTAGTAGTTAGTAGTTAGTGTTAGTTTAGTTAGTAGTTAGTTAGTAGTTAGTTAGTTAGTTAGTTAGTAGTTAGTTAGTGTAGTTTAGTTAGTTAGTTAGTTAGTCTTGTTTTGAACACATTATCATAACTCATATGACCTCATCTGTGCTGTAGTTCAGTGCAAATAAAATC